TTCTGACCTGGGACAGAGGGTTGGGGTGCGGGGTCTGGGAGGGAGTTAGCGTGCAGGAGGGGGCTCAGGGCTGGGGCAAGGGGTTGGGGAGTGGGCGGGGGTGAGAGGTCTGGGCTCTGGGAGGTAGTTTGGGTGTGGGAGGGGGTGCGGGGTGCAGGCTCTGGGAGGGAGCTCAGGTCTGGGCCAGGGGGTTGGGGTGCAGGTGGGGGGTCAGGGGTTTGGCAGGGGGTTGGGATGCGGGGTCTGTGAGGGAGTTAGGGTGCGGGAGGGTTCCGACCTGGGCCAGGGGGTTGGGGTGCGAGAGGGGGATAGGGGTGTGGGCTCCAGCCAGGCGGCACTTACATCAGGTGGCTCCCGGTCGGCGGCGCAGCGGGGCTAAGGCAGGCTCCCTGCCTGCCCTGACTCTGTGCAGCTCCTGTAAGTGGCCAGCATGTGGTTCCCGGCCAACGGGAGCTGCGGAGCTGGCACTGGGGACGGGGACAGTGTGTGGAGCTTCCCTGATTGCCCCTCTGCCTAGGGGCTGCAGGGACATGCCGGCCACTTCCAGGAGCTGCGCGGAGCCAGGGCAGGCAGGAAGCGTGCCTTAGCCCTGCTGCACCGCCGACTGGACTTTTAACGGCCCGATCAGCGGTGTTGACCAGAACCGCCAGGGTCCTTTTTCGAATGGGCGTTCTGGTCGAAAACCGGACACCTGGCAACCCTAATGACCGGTGATAAGTGACACCCCCCCCCGACTGACCAGTGATATCTGATCCCACCCCCAGTGACCGACCAACTGGGGATAACTGCCCCTGTCCCCCTGAGTGGGAGAGGTACCCCCTGTTCAGGGAGGGTTGGCCTGGCAGGAGCACACAGACCCTGCCCTGTGCCAGGGAACTCCCCGCTGAGGCCAGGGCTTTTGGCCCCCTGCTGAGTGCTGAGGCTTCATATGGCATGAGACCCAATGGGACTCAATATGTTGCCGTCCTAACCTGAGGCAGCCGGGGGGCACCCAGCGGGCCCGGGGGCTGGGCAGCTGTTTCTTTCTCTGTAGGGAGGGGAGACAGCCTTCACCTTGGGGAAGCCCTTCCTTCCTGATGCAGCCTGTCTCTGGCTCTCCCTTCCTCTCTCTCTGACACCAGAGGATGGTTTTTAAAGGTCACTGGAGCCCTGAACTGGCCTCACATGTCTCTGGTTAACCTGAGGTCACCTGTTTTCAGCTCAGAGGGAACAGGCCCTTCACCCTTCCTGGGCTGGGAGATCTGCCTGCCCCTCTCTCTCATATCCGTCAGGACTAGTTTGTCCCGCGGGCACCCAGCGTGGCTCTCAGCCCCCAGCCGTTCCAAATACGCCCCACAATAACTTCCCTCCTGGCTGTGCTGACACCCCGTGGGCTATTCTGGTGTCGGCTGCCCAGGAGAGCCAAGGTCTCTGGGAGCTGCCGAGGGTGACGGTAGATGTACACGTGGGGAATTGCCTTCCCACGGGAGTGTTTCTGCCCACAGGGACCTGTTAACCTTCCTCTGTGATGAAAACTGACCGGTTAATGTTACTGTGCGTCTCCTGTCCCTAGCCTTGCCCCCCGAACCCACTGCCTTTGTACTGAATGTGATCCGCTTTACCCTCCAGCCCTCGCCCCAGGGCCCGGCATTCCTGCGCGCCAGGTCTCTGCTGTGCTGGAGCAGTTTGTTCTGGGCTCACTGGCTGAGTGTGTCTCACGGCCCCGTCATGGCTCATAGTCACATGTCGCTCAAATGACAGATGGATGCTGGGGAGCCACGGGCCAGACTGAGTTCGGGCTCTGCAGAGGCCTGTGTTTGGGGGGCACTTTGTGGATCCATGTGATGGGAAGGGATTTGTGTGAAAGTGGGTCCCTGAATTCACTCAGAGAGAAAATGCCCTTCAGACAGGAGTGAGAGCGAAAAGCCTCGGGTCGGCCACCTGTCACACCCTGCAGCTGTGGGTCTCCCCTGGGCTGGATTCTGGGGAGGCAGAAGGGGGGTGTCACGGAGTGTGGGGGAGTCAAGGCCCTGCACCCCCCACTTCCTGCGATTCACAGGGACTCTCAGCCAGCCAGTAACACAGAAGGTTTATTAGACGACAGGAACACAGTGCCAAGCAGGGCTTGTAGGTACAACCAGGACCCCTCAGCCGGGTCCCTCTGGGGGGCAAGGACCTTAGACCCCAGACTTGGGGTTCCCTGCGTCTTCCCAGCCAGCCCAAAACTGAAACCAAAAACCCCTCCAGCCGGCTCTCTCCCTTTGTCCAGCTTCCCGGGGAAAGGCGTCGACTCCGCATCCCCTTCCTGGCTCAGGTTACAGGCTCAGGTACCGTGCCTCAGCTAAAGTCAGCCCCTGCTCTCCCATCCCCCATGCAGACCGTCCCAGTAAAACTAAACGACATTCCCAAGGCAATCCACCCCGCTCCCTGCTGTGTCACAGGGGTGCTGCTGAAAGACAGGGGAGAAAGGGCAAGGACGGAGCCGTGCTTGGGGAAGGCCAGGCTGAGCCAGGGCTGCAGGTTGAACAAAGAGGTGGCAGTGGAGGATTAGCCTCTGAGCCAATGAGGCCCATGCCCAGGGGCCCCAGACCATTGGGGACCCCCCGAAAAATGGCCCCCCCCACGCCCTGACCTGCTCCACCCGCCCTCCCGGCGCTCCTGCCAGGGAGCGGGGCAAGCCCCTGTGCCCAACCCCATTTCTCCGGCAGGAGCTCAGTGTCACTGGTTGGCCTCAGAGACCAGGGTGCTTCCCTGCCCCCCCTGGCTGCCCATGCCTGAGCTGTGCCGATCCGGGGCTTACAGAGAGGCCTGACTTGTTTCCAGGGGTGTCATGTCCCACTCTGGAGAGAGAGAGGAGCCTTGGCAGCCCCCTGCAGTGCTTGGCCCAGAGCCAGTTCTTTCCCATCCCACTAGGGTCTCTGCCCCCTCCTCAGCCCAAGAGAGTCACTGCCATAGGCGTGGCTGTTAAACGGGGGTTTGTTCTTGCGCCCTGCCCCATGTAGGGCTCTGCTCCAGGGCTGTGTGGTGCTTGCCATGTGTCTGCGTCCTATCCCACCACATGCCATTCTCCTCCGGAAGGAGGCTCGCTGAGTGCGTGCTTTGCAATCGGAGTCAGTAGCATCTCCAAGGCCCAGATGGGATCCCCGGTACCTGCATTAAGGCGAGGAGGGCTGGTAGGATAGGCAGCTTCCCACAGGGCTGTTTGAGTAGGACAGGGGCTGCCTAGGGCGTGCTGGAAGGGAGAGGACAGGACATGTGGGGAAGGGGATAAAGCTTGGCCCTCGCTGTCTCTCTTTCACTGGGCTTGAGCACCGAACCGGGCCCTGCGTGGGAGCTGGCAGAGCCTGCGTCAGCTGCCCCCATCATATCCCCAGGGTGCTGATCGGGCCTGGCCTCTCCTGCTCGCAGACCCTGTGCTCGGGGGCTGTCCCCTCCTGTCTGTGAGCCGGAGGCCTAGGGCTACAGTCCTGCCCGGCCAGCTCAGGGCAGCACCACCCTTGAGAGGCTGGGCCCTATGCCCCTCCCCCACCGGGCTCCTGGCTGTGTCCTGCAGCGGGGAGTCTCCTGACGCTGTCTGGTTCTCTTTGCAGCGAGAACTATCTGATCCGCTGGGCCAGTACGGGGGTCCCCCAGGACATCGAGTTGCTCAACAACCTGAAGGCCATCTTCACGGTGAGCATGGGTACCCTCTTGCCCTGCCTGACAGCATGCCTCTTGCACCCAGACGCCTGAGCCAGGATCGAGCCCTGTCACGCAGGGGACTGCACAGAGACGGGGACACAGAGCCTGCCCCACAGGACCAGTAGCCCAGCAGTCCCGAGATGGACGGAAAAATGCCGGATGGACGTGTCTGTCTAGTTACAGCGATTGTTTATTTTTCACAGTATGCCTACCATCCCCCACAGCTGGGCCACCATGCCCCCCCACTCCACCTGGGCCATCATGCCCCTCCCCATCCTCACCGCAGCTGGGCCCTATGCCCCTCCCCCACCGCAGCTGGGCCACCATGCCCCTCTCCATCGCACCACAGCTGGGCCACCATGCCCCTCCCTGACCTTCCCCCACCTGGCTCCCAGCCCCTCTCCCCCGCTCCGCCTTGACTGGTCCTTGGTCCCAGTGCTCTGCTAGGGTGACCACCTGTGTTG